AATAAGCTTATGTGATGAGCATTTGGAAAAGTAATTATTACAGAGATACTGCAATGAACACACACCCCAGGGAAGCAAGTTCCTTCCTAATGAACCTGGCCACATACTGAAGGGTAAAATATCCTAAAAGACATGGGATAGGCTGGTCTGCAGCCCTCGGGCAGGGGAGCAGCAGTCAGAATTCTTTTCTGATCACCATGGTGCATATTCTCAAAAAGAATGGTCCCAGAAGGCTTTTTATTCTGCACTTAAGTATCCAATGTCATCTCTATACCTAGTCATATCATTCTTCAGGAAATAAAAGGCAGGTCTGGAAAATCTTAGTAATTTCTGCACCAAAAGCCAACTGCTTGGATAAACAGTATCTTGGTGATATTCAGCAGCAGCTAACAGACTGTGATAAGAACATGAGACTTATTTTAAAGTGAATCACTTACGTCCTAAAATGGCCAGAGGAATGTTTCCAACCACCACTGAAAACACAGTAGTATAATGTAGTGGCCTTAGAGTCACTGTACGGGTGAGCACCTTTCTGGGGTAGAATGCAAAAACCCATCCAGGTGAACCAGATTCCTAAAAACTAGAACCTCTCGGTTTGACTTTTCTATAAACCACAGTATAGGATAAACATTATTAAAATAGAAGTTAAGGGGCACCTGGGTGGCTCAGTGGGTTAAAGCCTCTGCCTTCGTCTCAGGTCTTGGGGGTCGTGGGATCGAGCCCTACATTGGGCTCTCTGCTCAGCGGGGAGCCTGCTTCCTCCTCTCTCTCTCTCTGCCTGCCTCTCTGCCTACTTGTGATCTCTGTCTGTCAAATAAATAAATAAAACCTTAAAAAAAAAATAGAAGTTAAGTCTAGCTTAACCTAGCTTAAAGAGTTGATGAGCTGTGAAGTACGTCAAGTCACTTAAGCATCCTGAAACCACCTTCTCCTATAAAGTAAAAATGTTGAGACTACAGAGACTTTAAGGTCCATTCAAATTCTAAAGGTCCCAGAGGTACAACAAGCTCCACATCTCCCAACTCAAATTAATGTCTGATGCCATTCCTGATGCTCTTGTAACAGTAATAGAGAAACAAACCGCGTCTGATTTAGGAACCACCGTATGCCACTGGTTACTTAAATAAACAGAGACAGAAGTCTGAAGTTGGGGAATTGATTAATAAAAATAGTGGTAGGTCCTGTTCTAAGCGCTTGATATATATTAACTCACTGAGTGGGGAAAAATGGCAGGCAACAAAAGGTAATCTGAGAACCTTCAAACCCATAATGTAAGAGGGGATAAGGTTGAATATTAAACTGTGACCAGTATTAAAATGTTGGCATACTTAGTAACAAACCACAACCATTAAGATGCTGATAAAATGACTAATGGGAACAGGTATGTGTGAGTGAATGCCTTGGCCTCCTGAACTGTGAATAATTTTCAATCCAGTGAAGAAGTTATCTCTCTGGACCACCTATCGTCTACTGAGAAGCCTGCAACATCTAACACATACCTGTGTTTCTCGGAGAATATATGCAAGCATTCATCTTCATACAGATTCCTTTATGAATCATGATTTCAAGCACTACTGACTTGTCAAGTAAGGGTTTGTGTACAGCCCGATGGTCAAGCAGGTAAAGGAATGCAAAATTCCTTAAACACTTGATAGTGCCAGACTCAGCAGAGGGCTGTATGTGCTTCGACCCTCAGGTGCTTGGAAAAGGTGAAAAAACAGGGAGAGTCCTCTAAGAACTCAGAATGGATTCCTCATTTACATTTACTAGAAAACTGCCATAAATGCTCCGTGGTTCTAGGTTTTCAAGACAATAACATAAGATACACAACTTCTTTCTGTTTTAAAACTGGGAGAGGATGATTCAGTGAAGCAGTAATTCAATGAAGCAATGACTGGCCTGTTCCCAAGGTCAACACACAGGCTGGGCATGTGTCAGAAAGATAGGATTAAATAATATTAAACTAATGCCACTCCACCCTCCACTACAGTCTCAAGCTCACTCTTTCAGGGTGAAAAGTAACCCTTTTCAGACGGCAAACACACAGTTCAGGGGGTTAAGGCCAGAAGACAAAGAGAGACAGGGAAGCCATGCTCTGGAGAGACAAAGTCAAAAAGCTAATTCAGGAGAGACCCAGAAGCGAACTCTGCCTTTCAACGTGCAGTCCAACACCGAGCGTTTCCACCACAAAACAGAATAATGTGGAAAACAAAACAAGTGTACTTGCTCTGTCCTTCATCTGTTGGCGCACAAGCATTCTCTAGGCCAGGGGCTCACTGCCTGGTTTTGTGTAGCCCATGAAAAATCCCAAGAGCGGGCTTTACATTTTTAAATGAGTAACAAAAAAATTATTCAAAAAGGAGTATTTCATGACCTGCATGTTATGCGAAGTTCAAAGTTTAGGGTCTATCGATCGAGTTTCACTGCAGCCCAGTCACACTCATGTTCACGTGCAGCCTGTGGCTACTTCCACATAAAGAGTCCAGCTGGCTAGTCGTGACACAGCCTGTCCCACAGAGCCTTAACATACTCTGTCCTTCACCAAAAGTCTGTGGATGTCTTGAAAACCTACACAGTGAATATAGCAAAGGAAGAGTTCAATGGGAAAGAAAAAAGAGAAACTGAGACCCGGGGAACATCAAAGTGTGTGCTCATGCTTTATCCTTCCGGTTCACAGCAGATGGGGCCAGTGCTGCAGAGCAACAGGGGGGAGAGGTAAGTGTTCAGATGTCCCATCAGTCCAACGACACTGCAAGCACAAACATCGCCACTTCCTAGACCTGAAGACGCACGAAGGTAGGTTTTCTCCAGCAAGCGAAGTGGAGGCAGACACAATGCTGAAGGCACCAGTACTTCCCAGCAACAGACAGGTCACAGACACGCAGGGACCTCCTCAGAAGGCCTGCTCACAGAGCCTGGGGCAGTCGGCAAGGTCACACTCTGCTGTGTCGGCCTCCTGGCTCCCATTCTGGTTGGGTCTGACCTTGGGCCCGTCATGGCACTCTCTCGAGGGTCTAATTCTTTCACCTGGGACATGAGACGCTGACCGACCAGAGGAGCATTCTCTCTCTCAACTCCTCTAAAACCAGAGGGAAAATGAAAAGAGGAAAGAGGACAAGGAAAGGAGGAGCTTAAAAAAAAAAAAAAAAAAAGTAATGTTCTGTTTTCTTTATAATGGACAAGATAAAATTAGGATAGAGGTAACCCTCCTGGGAAAGCAAAGGGGCTATGGCCAAGCAGCAGGCTCTCTTCAGTGAGAGACTAAGAAACAGGCATTTGAATTCAAGGATGTGAGTTTGTTCCTTCCCTTTTTTAGGGGCTTCTGGAAACAAAGACACACATGTACCCATGCAGGGTGTGTTCTCTTTTCTTTCCCCAGGGACAAGAGCAACATTTGTTTAAATGCTGCCTGTGCTACAAGTAGCCGCCCAGGCATTAGTCATGAACATGATCTGTAATGAGGAGCGGCTACAACGATCCGCACCTCCCTACCACTGGACTCCAATAAAATGAAGCCTGCTTATCACAGTTCATACACTTGAAATAGCTTGGTAGGGTACGGTTCTGTTTACCTACCGGGGTAACTTTAAGAAAAAGTACCACATAGCCCTCTGAAGAGCAAAAACAAGGCCCTGTCAAGTCTAGACAAAGAAGACTGATTTTCTGAGGGGAAATACGATTTAGTCTTAAAACTTGATTTTCAGCTTCCAAAGGATTATTTTTTTTTTTAAATTAACCAGAAAGGACTTTAAAGCTTAGAGCACTGTTTCTCTCAACAAGTTTGTTTGTTCCCTTGTTTTAAGTTAACAGCTTTTAAACAAAAAGAATCTCAAGAACCCGAAGAAAAAACATTTTTAAAAACTTACTGAATATTAAATACAGAATTACCAGTGACCGTCTACGGCCATACCACCCTGAACGCGCCCGATCTCGTCTGATCTCAAAAGCTAAGCCGGGTCTGGTTAGTACTTAGATGGAAGAATTACCAGTGACCCAGCAAATCCTCTACTGGGTATACAAAAACATACATCCACACAAACTTGTACACAAAGGTTCCCAGCAGTATTACTCACAACAACCCAAGAGTAGAAACAAGAAGATCAAACGTGGTCAGTCCACAGAATGGAGTATTACTTGGCAATGAGAAGAAACAGAATATTAATCAGTGTTACAACATGGTTTGACCTTGAAAGAGTAAGCGAAGTCAGAGAAACTGCTTGTGGAAGACCATGTAGTTATATATGATCCCACTAACTATATGATCCCAAGTGACTTTCCAGAAGGGGCAGATGCTAGAGGCAGAAGGGAGATGAGGGACACCCAAGAGCCGGACAATGGGGAGGGATGGGCTGTTAAAGCATAGGAGGTTTCTTTCTGGGATGATGACAGTGTTCTGAAATCAGACAGGGGTGACCACTGCTCTGAAATCTACTGAAAACGACTAAACCAGGCACTTGATACGGGTGGGTCTTACAGTGTGTGAATTATAACTCAATAAAGCTGCTCAAAAAAAACCTAGTGTGACTTTTCTGGTCACTAAAAATGATATGTTACATATTTTAGACAGTCGTGAACGCTAAATTAAAATCTTTTTCCTATCAGTTTCTATAAAAAGAAAGAACAGTCAGGTTTAAGGGGTTACTAGATCCCTTTCTATGACCTGTTAAACACAATGACAAACTCTAGTCTCGCGCTCCCAGGAAAAATCTTTTTCATTACAGTCTCCGAGGGATCCATGCAGAAGGGCTCGTTCCAAACCTGCACTGGGTGGTGCATGTGTGTATGAAAGCTGAACAGAGCAACAAAGACACATCTCCACGTGATGGGAAAAGAGGCAAGGGGTAAAATACTCTCATTGAAAAAAAAAACAAAAAACAAAAAACAAACCACGTTCCCCAACCAAACCAAAAAACAAAACAAAACAAACCAAGGCCATACATCAGACACATCAGACCAGGCTAAACACATTTTGTGCTCCTGTAGACTTAACTGCCACTTACCGCCTGGGTCGCCAGGCCTTGCTTCACGTCAGGCGTGGCAGCTGCGGCTCCTAAGACCACCTCTGCAGAGGCCGAGCTCGCCCTGGCATTACTCAGACAATCCACTTCATCTGCAGCTTTCAAGTCTGGCATTTCTGAAGAGAACAAGGGGGTTACAAAGTGCGTCTGAAAAACCAGGGCCCGTGTTTTAGTATTTACACAACACATCCAGGCTTCACGTGTTTTGTTTGCTTTTGCTTTTGTGCAAAATGGGAAAGTATTCATTCGCAGCTGGTGTCATTTCGGGCCCTGCGCTGAGCTGTTCCTTTATCATGAGGTCCACACGGTTTTCCCCTCGCCTCCGCACGGGTTTGTAGCTAAGCAGACGTGCAATCCAATGTCTGCTGAACTTCCATTTTCACTACTGACTCTTCCTGACAAATCCGTGAGTGTGGTGCTGACTGCGTATGGGAGAGTAAGTTCACAAGCTTTGAGGAAACAGATCAAGAGCTGAGGCTAGGTGGTCCATCTTGATTATCATCCAAGAAGCCAGAGATGTTTATATTTGCACAGGACACAGAGGAAAGATGTGTCTTGAATGAGATAAAACCTTTTTAGAGGAGTCTGACTTTCTTTAAAAACATACGGCACACTTTCATCTAACCATCACTGCAACGGACAAGACTGAAATATTCTAGTAAATAATATATTTTTTGTATTTTAATTTTTATTTCTTCCCTAACCAAAACATAATCACAAAGAATTTTCTTTTTTTTTTTTTAATGATTTTTAAGTAATCTCTACACTCAACATGGGGCTTGAACTTACAACCCCCAGATCAAAAGTCATACACTCCACCAACTGAGCTAGCCAGGCACCCAGAGGAATTCCTTTTCTTAACAAAATGTTTTTATATGTTTTCTTTAGAATTATGCTCACTAGACCAAACAGTAGTGGTTTTTGTTACCTGACCACCATATGGTCAAGCAAATACAGGAAGGAAGTGATAACTTGATGTCTGAGACAAACTGAGCCTTTGACTTTTTTCTTTTTTTAAAGGGGGCTGAGACTGGACATTTAAAATTCACCTCGATAATACAAATAAAATAGAACTATCATGTCAATTTCGTGTGGAAATTTTCTCTGGCCAATTTCAATCTCGTCATGCCACTACTCTGGCAGAAAAAAAAATGTTCCGTACACCAAAGGGCAGAGAAGTTTCTTTCACCAAAGAAAAGAGTTTATTCTACAGCACACTGTGACATGCCCAAAGGTCTCCTTCGGGTTTAGGAAAGCTACAGTCCTACAGATGAGCATTCATAAATTCCCTTATTTATAATTATACAATCTTACTAGCAATTTAAACAAGCTTCCTTGCCCAAAGAACAAAAACCTATGTTACATTTCATAAAATGTAAATAAAGTTAAAAAAAAAAACAACCCTAAGAAAGTACCTTAGAAGTACTCACTGATCAAAACATTTCTAAATAAGACTAATTTTTTTGGTTGTTGATGACTTCTATTTTATTTATTTGGAGAAGTGATTTTTGGCACACCCTTATTATCCTATACCCAGCAAGTGAAAATATGTATCTCAGCAGGCAGCAACCAATCACGACCATGAATAGTGGTTACTGAGACAAGAGGGGCACCAGCCACCTCTGCAGCCTGTCCTGGCTGAGTCCCAGAGGACTAACTTCCCAAACCATGGTGATGGATGGTCAGGATGAGTGAAGAGCCACATCCCCTCCTTATAACGGGCAGTTCTGTGTTTTCTCATGTTAATTTCTATCTGGCAGCGTCTACAAACAGAAGCCGGTGCCACGCAGCTCCTTCCAAATCAGCAGTTATCCGACATCTCTTCACTCGTAATACACTGTGGTTAAATCCATGAATGGAAGGTAAACTTCCCAGAAATTACTCTTTGGCTGAGATCACACTCAGGTGCTTTTTCTTTAGGGCAATGTGACCTGGGACTTTCCCCAATTCTGCCTTTTTTTTTTTTTTTTTCTTCTGAAGAAAGCCCCTATTTCTTGGTCACTGGCTACTTCTCTCTGTAACATAAGACCATGAGCACTGAACACATATGACTCTTCTTGGTAGCAGAACCAGTAACTCGCCCACACACATCAATCAAGCCTAAACCCAGAGATACTGAGGAAATTTCATACAACTCATTTTCCTTCCTAAAACCTTAAAAATCTTAAAAATCATTTCATAGCATCTATACCCTAACTACAAACTACCAAAAATCAAAGTCTGAAATTCTCCCCGGTTTCTACCTTTTCTCTCTGGGTATTAGAGACCCAAACTTCACAGAATTTGCACTTGCTCGGGTTAAGTTTGGACTACTGAGCCAGAAAGACAAATAATTCCAGCCCATGCAGCCAAAGACACAGCACCCAAATGAACACAGCCAGGTATCAGCTTACAGCCACTCCCATTCTTCTGAAATGTCAACCTGCCAGGGCCCCCAAAATAGACTTGTTGTTGTATCTTATTTTAAAAATTAGAGACCTTTTCATTTAAATCCTGAGATAGCAGCCAATAAATTTCTAGTACTAACAACCCAAAACACGAATAAAACTAAAAACGCCAAGTCACCAAAAATACTGTAATACCTAAAGCCTCTTAAATTCCTCAATGGGAATAAAAAGATCTTAATTGGTTAAAAACCCTTTATTGGGAGCAGAGGGGGGTAGGACCACACGTTGCTCTTTTTCCTAAGCAACTTCTTTTCTGGTTCTGTTGGTCATTTCTCCACATGCCCCACCCCCACACTTTAAACACATACTACACTTAAGGAGATTTTCAAATATGACAAGAGCAGCAAAAACAAACCAACAATAAGAACAATTAGGCTACTTCTTACCTACACCGGCTGGGGGTGAGCATGGAGACCCGTGCTCTGTCTACACCTGGCAACAGGGGGCGGCATCAAAGTACGAATCGAACAGACCTTTAACGATTCAGGGGTCAATGCCACCTTGGACTCCAGCTTCGGCTTCAGCTTCAACCCCCAAGAAGTTTTATTCACGTAGTTTATTTCCCCCAAGCCACAGCGGTTTCTCTTTGCTCTCTCTGGACATGGTTACCCACAAATGGAACAGAGTGCTGTGTGAGCAATCTGCTCCGGGCAGCTGCTTCACCGAGATAAGCAGACACAACGTGTGCGCTGTGACAGCAGCTCAGCAGGCTTGGGCGGACATCCTGCATCCCATCCCCTGCCCTGCACACGGTCCCGGATTCCCAGACTGCTGCCCAAAAGCATCAGGCAATGGAACGGGAAGTCAGCTCCGCGGGCAGGAAAAGGAGGGCGTTCTCTCCTTCCCCTCCCCCGACCCACCCCCGCCCTCCCCAATGACCTAATACCACCATTTTGGATGTAGGGTCATTCGCGTAGAACGACTCTTACAGCTGTTTCATGAAACCACCCTGACTCTAAATTTGCTCAGAATACAGACTAGGATGACAGGGAAGGAAAGTGTTCTGGGCTCGTAAGCAAAACGTACTTTTTCAACACCGCTTTTCACAGTTCTAGAAAAAAAAGGACTAAGCCATGCAAATAAAAATATCTGCAAAATTCCTTTCTCATTGTAAAGCACCTGCGATTTTCTCGGTTTGCATTTTCTCGGTTTGCAAAATTGCAACTCCTCCGGTGTGGGAGACAGAGCGTTTATAGGCTTCATCAGTCAGGCCTGGAGTCTACAATACAGGAAGCAAAATCTGTCCAGCCCTGAGGACGTCCCTCTTCTGACAGTGGTGACTATTAACTTGGCAACTTACCCAATGAATGAAAAGACACTTCTAAACCACAAAGAGGCCTCCTTTCTCTACCAGCATATCTCTGAGGCTCTTAAGAGAGTCTGTCCCTCAAACTGCTACTTCTGTATTCTGCTTTGCTTACCTATTGCAGGCCCAAATCCTTCAGCGGCCAGAACCATCTTCTCCAGCTTCTCCCTTTCAGCCAAACCCCCTGCAAGGCTGCCAGGGGCTTCTTCGCAGATACTGCCCATGTGTGGGGTCCGCCCAGGCAGAAAAGAGCTCCCTTTCCCTGCAGAAGCACTCTGTGGATGCTCAGTCACTGGGCCTGACTCTGAAGGGCTGGACGGTGACATGTGACCAGTCCCCCACCCACTGATCAGGGCTCCCGAGGACTTGACTTGGTGCAGGACGGCCTCCACTATGCGACTCGCAGCCTCCTCAATGGAGCCTGCTCCTTCCGGCAGAGACACGGCCCAGGATAGAGGGGGAGTGCCCCCTGCCCTGCCTGGGGCCGGCTTATCACTGTTTGAGAGTCCGGTGTCGGTGGGTAGCTCTCTGGCAGGTGGTTGCTGGAGGACGTGGCGCGCGTCGGCATCCACCTGTGCCCCGCTGCCATCGGCCACGCCGCCGCTGTCTGCCTCCTTCCAACCAACAGGCACCATCTCGGGAGCGGTGGTGCCCCGCAGTTCCAGCACACTTTTGTCTGCTGAAGCTCCTGGCAAATCCAGGACCACAGTCTTCTCCTGGCTCAAGGCTTCTGAAATCGGGAGGTCCTGGGCGGTGTGTGATACAGCCTCTCTTCTGGCCCCGACAGTATCTTCTGTGGCATTAACCACAGCAACATCCAACCCCACATTTCCGCTCACCTCACCAGCACGGCTTTTACCTTGGGATTCAGGGTTCTGCACGCCAATATCCAGAGCAGAAGACCGACTGCAAGCAAGAGCCCCAGCCCCATCTGGTGACAGGCCTGGCAATGCAGCCGAGCCGCTCTGCTCTGCACCCGAGGCTTCCTGGTGTGGGTCTGCAGCCAGACTTGCTCCCCGTGGCACCAGGCTCTGTGCAGCCCCACCTTCAGTCAGCAGCGAGGCTGGCGGGGCCACTTCCTGGTTATGCTCAGTTTCTGCATTCAGGCAGGCCAAGGGTGCGCCCCGGGGACTGCCGCGCTCAAGTGCTCTGTCCTCGGCACAGACAGCCGAACTCCGCTCTCCACAGAACCCCAGTGCCTCCTGTCCAGGAGGTGGTGTTCTCTGCTCTTCCTGAAACGCTCCTGAGGAATAACTGTCTTCCTTAACAGAGGCACAAGTCACTGCTTTATCCCTGCTATCTTGTCCTTGAGCTTCAGAGCTTTCCAGAACCACCTCAGTTTTTCCTACCTCAGTCAGAACGGAATCAGAGGCCACAGTGGCCTTACCCGCACGCAGCAGAGAAGCGTCGGTGCCCCCCTCGAGATCCAGAACTTCGGGGGCTGCTGAAAGGCGGGGAGCCCCATGTTCCCCACTAAGTCCCATGGGGCTGGTATTCCCCATTCTGGGCTGACGATGGAGAGCAGTTGAGGGTGCGGGCAGGCCTACAGCACCGTCTTCTGAGGGCTGCTTCTCAGGACCGCTCCAATCTCCGCCTGGGCCATCTTCACCATCTGTAGCCGTATGTAGTTCAGAAGTTGCTGTTCCCTTTTCTTTCTGGGAGGGGACAAGAGAAAGTGCGTCATCTTTGGTTACTGATTCACTGCCTGGCCCGCTTGCCAGAGAAGTCTTGTCTGATGTCACGGCCTGGTCTGGCACCAGTTCTTCCTCGGCGCTGGGGACAAGCACCTGTGGCTGCACCTCAAGCATATTTGTTAAAGCCGTTCCGAGGTTCCAATCTCTTCTCTGGCCCTTTTTATCTGAATCTTCACGAGGACAAAATTCCGCCTGTTCCTGGGTGCCTCTTGGAGGGTCAGGGGTGGCTGTGTGAGCCTGGGGACCTTCACCGCAGAGGTCCAGGGGGAGATGCTGTGTGGGGGGCAGTCCTGGGGTGGTGTCCTCGGGCTGGGTACCTATGCCACCACAGTGTTTCGCAGCAAGGACGCCCCCAGCAATCACTGTGCTCTGACCACAGGCAGGGGTGGCACACGGAGTGTCCCCTCCAGGTGTAGAACAGAGGGGTGATTGGCTGATCTGGCTCTGAATGGGAGATGAATCAGTTTCCGATTTCTTGTTCGGCGCGTCTTTTCGTGGCCCCGGGAAGGTTAGATGGGAGGGGGACGCTGCCTCACTTGTGCCTGCCAAGGGAGCAGAAGGACCGAGCCCATCTGAAGTCGTGTCTTCTGCAGCAGCTGGAGCTACCGGGAAGCTCTGACCCATGGGAGGCCCAGCATTCCCTTCAAAACTTCTTGAAGCTTCTGTCTCTGCAGTTTTCACAGGGGAGGCTTCTCCCTTCCTAGATGCAAGTAAAGACTCAGCAGGTTCATTAGCACCCGGGGAGCCGGTGGCAGAGACGCTGTTGGGAGCAGCGGCTTTATCTGCAGGCTGACTTGTGACTTTTACGTCAGAGGCTCCGGCTGTGCTGATAGGAGAGTCCTCAAACTTTTCCTTTGTACCTTCCCTTACTTCAAGCACATCCTTCTGGATGGCGGCATCGACGTTCGGGAGACCACGTTCTGTCTCCCCTGCAGTCCCTGGGACGTTGACTGCCAGTTCCCCTCCAGAGAAATGCGGAGTGGGAGCGGAGCCCGGTTGCATGGCCATGTCTCCCTGCAGGAGGCGGTCTCCAGTGCTTAGAGACTCCTGGTCTGTGACCAGTGCAGAAGATTTTGTTCCAGTTTCTCCATTTCTGACTTGACCGGATGGAAAGTCTCCTGTGGCCTCTCCTCCACAAGCAGGTATGCTCAGAAGGCGGCTGCTGGGATCAGACACCGCTCCACGGTCCACAGTAAGTGAGGGCTCCGCCTCGTCCCCTGCTCCCCCCACACCTTCGGTTTCCTTCTTACAGGAACAGTCTGTATTCTCTTCCGCAGCCACACCTGACAAACTGGAGGAACTTTCAGTCTCCCCCACAGTGCTCCCGTGGCCACACGGGTGAGGCTCAGGGTCTTCGGGCAGAGATGAGCACTGCTGGCTGTCCCTGGGATCCGACGTGCAGCAAAGAAACTGGCCATCTGGATCTCGGGCACTGTGCAGACTTGAAGGATCCTGTGCTGTCACCATTAAGGGCACAGGACTGTCCATCTGCTTAACATTCGTTTTCTAGGAGGAAAGGAAAGATAGTTATAAAAGTTGCCCATGGGAAAAGACGTCACTGACATGTAGAAGCAGAACTCCTGCTGGAGAGAACTCGCTGCCGCTCCAGCCCTCCTAAGATCACGTGAAAAGCTGATCTCAAGAAATACAAATGGATTTTTGCTAGTCCCTGATACCACTTTCCTCTCTTGTAGCTACATAATCCACTGGAGTGATAAAACGGTCAAGAATATACAACATGGCTTGTCCTAAATTATGAACTTATTTTAGAAAGGTGACCCTCAAAAACCTTATTTTATAAGGGCACACTGACTACCTTTAGCTGAAGAAGATATTTTTAAAGGGTCTTGAGAGGGGCAGAGGTATGCTTCCATCCCACCTCATGTACATGAATAAAAGGGAGTCCTACTCAGTATGGTAAAGTCTTGTCGTTTGCAAATTGTCATTTGAAGCTCCTGAGCCTGAAATTCGTACTGAGAAGTTACATGGTGTCCTTTATTCCCCCAGACAGGCTCCGTTCAATCTAGCTTACCACTTTCCATTACGGGTTCATAATTTCAAGAACAGTGGCACAGCAGATTTGTTTTTGATAAAGGCAGTTTCTCTGTTGCCTAGTACTAAATATGAAATAGGAACATATCAAGCCAGTATGATCCAAGTCCCGATTATTCTTAGTACTGTGGCTTGAGGAAACTGTATGTCATGTCAAAACTGCTTTTTGCAACTTCACAGTATTTTAAAAAACAAACAGATTATTACCAACTATATGGGAGTGGCTGAAAAAAACCACCGTTGGTCAACCTGAGGCCAAGGCCATGCTGTGAACTATGAAGACCATGGTAAAGGCTGAAATACAGATTGATGATACACTGAAAAAAAACAGGTAAAACCTAGGGTTAAAATCTAAGGTCATAAGTATGCAAAATTTACATGTACATATAAGCAAGGCTAAGGAAAAATGGGAAAAAAAATACAGCTCATCTTTACAGTGGGTTTGCCTTTCTATCAAGATTTCAGAAATTCTTACGCTACTCCTATTTGTTCAACAAATACAAATGACTTTTAAAACATGTTTGTTCGGGGCGCCTCGGTGGCTCAGAGGGTTAAGCCTCTACCTTCAGCTCAGGTCATGATCTTAGGGTCTTGGGATTGAGCCCCGCATCGGGCTCTCTGCTCAGCAGGGAGCCTGCTTCCTCCTCTCTCTCTCTACCTGTCTCTGCCTACTTGTGATCTCTGTCTGTCAAATAAATAAATAAAATATTAAAAACAACAAAAAAAACATCTGTTTGTTCTTCCCCTTTCTCTGACCTACTGCGATACTCTCGTGTGTATCTACTGTGCACTGTTCTTGTTCACTTATGGTTCTTCAACATCAGACTAGTCCCGCCAACCTACCGGCTCTACCGTGAAAGTTTACCCATACAAGTATACAATGTGCTGTGCTCAACTAAAGTCTCCCTACTAAGAGAGAACAAGAAAAATGGACTTTCGCAAAAAGCTTCTGTGCTATGCTCCGAAGAGTGTCCAAGTTTAGCTTGTTCCCATTCCTATGACAGCATAACCGTCTCCTAAGATCATGAAAGCAGGTCATTCCATTTAGTAAAGGGCAAACATTACAGAGATTCAGGGAAACAAGTGTTGTTTTAGAAGCTCCTAACACACGCGTCCTGTCAGAGTTTTAACTTCTCATAGTTTCCTGTCGAACGTTCCCATATCGTGCAGGAACTCTGGCACCCACAAGCTGGACCACCATTCACCTAGGAAGAAGAGCTCCAAGGGAAAAACAGGCTTCTCGGCAAGCTGTTCAGAGGAAAAGAAAAGGACACCTGTCCTGGCACCAAACGACTGGGAAAGGGAAAGGCAGGCACATCACACACGCCTGCTGTGAAGTGTCTTGGCCTGCTGGCCTCCAAAATAATGCCTGCTCCCAAAGATGCCTCTGGTACCGCGATGACCCGAGAGGACCTTAAATGAAATTATTGTCAAGCGTTTTCCAAATCTAATCAGCTCTGAAATAAACTGGGTGGAAAAATTATCTAAACTTAGCCTTTCAGATGTTATGGCCAAGAGACATGTACCCATATGACGTTTATATTATCCATAATAAATGCTACCAGGGAGTCTGTAATGTTTTTACGTCTGGCAACAACTTTATCTTGAAGGCTTGAGTGGATTATAAAATCTTTATTTTTTTAGTGATCTTTTTACCATACAACTATCAATTTAAATATAGTAACATTATCATCACTCATTGAAATAGTTGTGAAAAGGCCTTACTTTTAAGTAAATGTGGTCCTTGTTCTTTAGCAACAATCTCAGAAACTGTTTTGCTCATTTAGCTTTATAAAGCTAAACTGACAAATTAATAAACAGACAAATTTCCTTTTATGCCAGGAAAACAGAGTTCTAGTTGTTGCGTATTTCTGTATCTGCAGTGTGTATGTGTATCTTTCACTAGTTCAAAAGCCTGGCCAAAAAAAGAAAAGAAAAGGAAAATTCCCAGTCCCCTGTTGCTGTTTTGTATGTTTAAGCAGTAGTATCTAATGCTGCTAAAACTGCTTTGGGCTTCACAATCTCTGAGGAAAGCATTTCTGTGTTCTAATTCTAGGAAGGTTCAGTAGGGGAAAGTGTGAGGGCACCAAAGCCTGAAAATGGACATTTTCTTCCTTACCATTAGCTGCTGTTGGATGTTCATAAGTTTAAAAATATGTCCAGTGCAACTGTCTCCAGGAAATGGGACTTCATGACGGGTTTCGGACTCAGAGGTTAAGGTATAGACGTCCAACTCTCGATGATGCCTCACAGAGCAGTCTCCATACGGGATTTCATAGGATAAACTGCTCCAGGAGTCTGGTTCCCCAGCATTCTCCCTGTAAGCAAGCAGCTCTGGTTAGACTACCTGCGTTCTGCTCCTTCACCCGGGGCACAGCTCTTCCTCTCAGCCTTCCCCCACTGCTCTGGAGGCCATGCAGCAGAGATCTGGTTTCTACAGCTCCCCAGTGAGCCAGGCGTGTAACTCACTGAGCCATCCGCCTCGTAAGAGGTCACAGATGGATTAAATGAAAACTGCAGGATTCCTCCCTAAGAACGTTCTTTTGATCAAGATAAAGAGAGGTCTGGGACCTTAAAATAGTTAACATTATGCTAACAACCAATTAATGAGGAAATGTAAGGAGGATGGTCTTAGCCTGGTTTTCAATAGAAGAAAGGCTTATATTAAGCATTTCTCTTACACTGGGTTGCACCATATGCTGACTGCAGTTGATTCTACTGGGAAGGGAAGAAGAAATCACTATAACCCATGCAAGGGCACTCCGACTTTCATTAACAGCTCTCAAAGTCAACCGTATTAGACAAAGACAACAAAGCCATATCATACTATAGTTGTCAATACGATTAGGAAGAAGCACTTGGTTCTAAGAACTTCAAGTTAAAATTTTTTTTAATCTAAAAAAGCAAATGACCTTGCTCAACTCTCATCATCATCAACATACCTCATCTACAAATAAAGCTGACAAAGGCGCAGGTATGTAAAGAAAAATCTCTGGGACAGGCCTTAACACATGAAATCTCTTTATGAACTAACAGATTGGCCAAGTACTCCAGAGATTCTGGAAGAAGGAGGAAGGTGATGTTTGAGATTACATTTCAAAATGGAATAAGTAAACAGAATCAAGTCTGAAGAAATAACAGACATGCCACACACTGACAAGCAGGAGAAGAAAACCCTCTTGGCAGTGTTTCATTTACTGAACCATAGTTGTCTGTCAGTAACAACCCACCAGATAGTAACTGCAATTTGAAACTAACTATATGCTGTATTATGAAACCCAGAACTGAGGAATCGTGCGCTGGCTGAAGGTCATGATGAAGGCTGCTCCAAAAGAAAACTACTGGAACGTCCACTCTCAAGAGTGACACCCCAGGGGTTGCTTCAGATGACCCTAGCATACACTATGCTCAGTTTTTTATGTACTTAACCAAGCTGCTCTACTTGGAGTAAAGTGACCTCAAGTAGAAAAGTACAGTTGACTCAAGCAACTCGGGTTGGAACTGCACGGGTCCATTTACACACAGATTTTTTTTTCCCCTCAAAAATACAGTACAGTTCTGTAAATGTATTTTCTCTTATGACTTTCTTAACCAACATCTTTTCTCTGGCTTACTGAATTGTAAAGATACAGTATATAATACACATACCACACAAAATTTGTGTTAATTGGCTGTTGATGTTATTGGTAAGGCTTTCAATCAATAGGCTATTAAGTTTTGGGGAGTCAAAAGTTATACGCAGTTATTTGTCAGCGCAGGGGTTAGCACCCTTAACCTTCTCATTGTTCGAGGGTCAATTCTACTTGTAAGACAGTCACTTAAAAATAAGAAGCCAATCAGCTACACCGAATGAGGGGGGATGCGACTTCTCTGTAATTTCAGCTTTGAAGCTTGGGCTGACACTGCCACTAATTCAGGATAATCTATCAACTGACAGACATAACTAGCATACCTGAGTGCTCTGATTACCACACACGGTCATACTCTAATAACAAAAGGCCTTTGAGAACACAACTTGGTGTATACACCACTCCACTGTGAACCAAATATAATGAGAGAGGACTGTCTGCCAAAGCAGGGGCAATTAAAAAGGGACACAATCCGTTCCCAGCAAAAGGAGTTTTCTACCAATTGCCACTACTACTTCTCAAACTGTTTCCTTTTTACTACCTAAACCTTGAGAAATTCCCACCTGTAACCACAAACTATTTACCTTCTACAGCTCCCATGCTCTCCTTCCAGAGGAATGTGCTGTTGTTGCCACAATTAACCCCGAGTGCTAACCCTTCGATCTCCCAGTTCCTTGTCCCTGTGAATTCTGTTGCTTCCCAGTCTGTCTAGATAGAAACGACTGGTCCCTGCAATTATTCTCTTACTGATTTCATGAATATCTCGTGCAACGGACACTCTTCCAAACCCGTTTTCCTGAAGGTCTGGGTAAACCCCACCATCCCAGCAAGTAGCCAGGGGTCAGGCAGTATTCCAGGTGCTGGTGACAAACCCAAATTCTCAGCTCATTGGGAATTTATGTACATAGCAAGGGAGACAAGAGCAGTCAGATTAAATAAAACATCTGGCATTTCTGAGATAGCAAGTGCTACGGAGAAAAATAAAGCCAGGATGAGATGAAGGTTGCCATTTTATTTTTAATTTAACTTTATTTCATTTAAATTCAATTAATTAACATATATTGTTATTAGTTCAGTAGAGTTCAGTATTTCATTAGTTGTATTTCACACCCAGTGCTCATCACATCACCTGCCTTCTCAATGTCCATCTCCCAACCCAGTTACCCATCCATCCCCCTCCCTCCAGCAACCCTAAGTTTGTTTCTTATACTTAAGAGTCTCTTACAGATTATCTCCCTCTCTGATTTTATTTTTCCTGCCCTTCCCCATAAGCCTGTTTTGTTTCTTCAATTCCACATGAGTGAGATCACATCATCGTCTTTCTCTGACTGACTTATTTAGCATAATATCTTCTAGTTCCATCCATGTCATTTTCATTTTTTTTTTTGATGGCTGAGTCGTATTCTACTGTATATATGCACATTTTCTTTACCCAGTCATCTGTCAATGGACATATGGGCTCTTTCCATAGTTTGGCTGTTGTGGACACTGCTGCTATAAACACTGGGGTGCAGGTACCCCTTCAGATCCCTACGTTTGTACCTTATGGGTAAATACCCAGTAGTGCAATTGCTGGGTCGTGGGGTAGCTCTATTTTCAACATTTTGAGGAACCTCCACACTGTTTTCCAGAGTGGCTGCACCAGCTTGCATTCCCACCAACACTGTAGGAGGGTTCCCCTTTCTCTGCATCCTCTCCAACATCTGTCGTTTCCTGACTTGTTAATTTTAGCCATTCTGACTGGTGTGAGGTGGTATCTCACTGTGGTTTGATTTGTATTTCCCTGATGCCGAGTGATGTTTTTCATGTGTCTGCTGTATGTCTTCTTTGGAGAAATGTCTGTTCGTGTCTTCTGCTCACTTCTTGACTGGGTTATTTGCTTTTTGGGTGTTGAGTCTGATAAATTCTTTATAGATTTTGGATACTAGCCCTTAATCTGATGAGACATTTGCAAATATCTCCTCCCATTCTGTAGGGTTTTTTTGGTTTTGCCGACTGTTTCCTTTGCTGTGCAAAAGCTTTTTAACTTGGTGAAGTCCTAATAGTTCATTTTTGCTTTTGTTTCCCTGAGGGTTGCAATTTTAAATGTGGAAGGACTCATGGAGGTGACTTTTTTTTAAAGATCTATTTATTTATCTGAGATAGAGAGAAAGAGAGAGACAGAGAGAAAGATAGAGGGAGAATGAATGGGAGGGGTAAAGGGAAAGGGAGAGAGAATCCCAAGCAGACTCTGTACTGAGCACAGAGCCTGTTACGGGGCTCAATCTCATGATCGCGAGCCTGAGCCAAAATCAAGAGTCAGATGGTTAAATGACTGAGCCACCCAGGTGCCCCCTGTAGTGGCATTTTAAGCCAGTATGTTTTGTGCTCTGTGTTTAGCACTGTATAAGACTTGTCCTGCATCCAGTAATAAAATGTGACTAAGTTCTGGGCATAAAAATGCTTACTGAAACTTTAGGTATAATAGTATTAAAAAGTGGACACCACCAGGTCAATAACTAGAGGGCTGTTTGGTAAGATGAAGAAGAACAGATCTCTGGACTATTACACAGCCATTAAAAATAAGGGAAATAACAGTCCAGTAACACTAAAATCTACAACGTTCAGGGAAATAAGCAAAATAAAAAGGGTAAAAATTTAGGTAAGTCTAGATGGTAAAATGCACAAATAAAATAGTATTATAGTTGTTGGACTGTAGGTTTTCTTCCCCAAGACTTTCATTAACGGGTTTTTTTGGTTTTTGTTTTTTTTATTTATTTGACACAGACAGATCACAAGTAGGCAGAGAGGCAGGCAGAGAGAGAGGAGGAAGCAGGCTCCCCGCTGAGCAGAGAGCCCGATGTGGGGCTCAATCCCAGGACCCTGAGATCAAGACCTGAGCTGAAGGCAGAGGCTTAACCCATTAAGCCACCCAGGTGCCCCTCATTAACATTTAAGAAACTTTTTAGAGTCCCCTATTGAGCTAGGACTCGCTGCTCCGGAATGCTTTCACTTGTGTTAGTGAAATTTTCTATAGTCTCCTCAAAGGCCCAGTCTTAACTCTACTTCATTCTCAGGTGACCGTTTTGCCCTTCTCAGTGAGAAGCTTGAGGCTACCTGATAGGTGAGCTCAATCTTCATTCACTAATAATCTGCCTCTGCCCACCGCCTCTCGTGTCAAGGACGCCTCTTCTCAGCAGTGGGTTTGCTCTGTTCCCCCCGGCCTCCTGCCATCCCAGACTGGGCAATCCTCCCCTGGACGCCTGCAGTGTTTCACGCACTCCTGGACTAGCTCCGCACACCTCGCCCCCTTAAAGCAGTAGCGGGAGACAGAGCAGTGGTGGCAGCAAGGGGGAGGACTATTGCCCTGCGTGCCTGTGGGAAGCGGCAGCAGGAATCTGTACTCCACCCTGCAGACCAGATCTCACCGAGGAATCTGGCCCCCAGGAGGCACCTGACAACATGGAGACACTTTCTGGCGGTCCCAACCCAGGGGAGGCAAGCACAGAGTTTCTACAACGCACAGGACAGCTCCCTGCCACAAGGAATTGTCAGGCCCCAACTGTCAATACTGCTGAGGTTGAGAAACACTGCTCTCACCCACTGACCCACCCTGTCTGTCCTCCCCTCCCTTCCATCTCCTTACTGATCATCCAAAAGCTTCAAGATTCTGCAGTTTGGGGCCTCCTCACTCCACTGCTACTAAAACC